CTTTATTCTAAACGAAAACCTCTGTTGAGTTTATTTTTTACATTTTAGTGTCTGGAAGCAGGTTTTTTCTTTTAAGTTTTTTTTTCCATTTTTAGTGTAGACGCAGGTAATTTGTAAGAAGAAAGTTTTTTAATAACATTTCGATTAAACAATTTATTTTTTAAATATATTTATTGTTGATTTTTTTAAAAACCGCTCGACCGATTTCGATAAAATTTATATGGGACCACCTGGGAAGTATATCCTTTTTTTTTGTTATTTGTAAGCAAAAAAAAAATCCAAATCGGTTCAGGCGTCTTCGAGTATTGGTGAACATACATAAAAAAAAGATTCCGACAAATTGAGAATCTCCTCCTTTTTGGAAATCGGTTAAAAACTAAAAATATGGTACAATTTATAATTTATTGTTTTTAATATCATTGAACTTACAAAAGTTGCGTAATTTTGTTAGCTAGTTTTATCATTTCTTTGACACATGGCCGCCCTTAATCTTTATTTCAAATTCATTATCTACCGCTTCCTTGACATAACATTTAACTTTAGATTTACATACCTATTAGTTTTAGGATTATTTAAATTTATTAACAATTCTTCAATCGATCTTAGAATTTTAAAAATGGACACTAGTGGGTAGAAGTCCTTGCAATTGATTGAAAAATAGCTAAGATGGTTTTTTGTAGCTATAAATAATTAATATTAGTTATTAAAAAACGATATAATGTTGTATGTTCCTAACCGCGTTTATAGAGCGGACGTAAGCCACTTTATTCTTTCCGCACACTAATAAAATACTTTAATTATGGTATTTCACCTAATTTATATTCAAAAATCATTAAATATAAAAAGACCTTTAAATGTCAATCTAATTAATCTAATTATATCTTAAAAAATTAGATTAATATCAACTCATTTGATAATAATTATAAAATTATGATACACTAATGTGCATTCTTTAACTAAGATAAATAAAGTATATGATATATTTATAACCCGCTAGAACAAAAAGTAAAAAAAAAAACAAGACGGCGAATTTCAATAAGGCTGCCATGCAATTTAAAAAACAAAATCGATGGTACGTATATAATACGGAATCCGTACAAGTGCGATGCGCACTTGACCGATTTTAAATATCAAATGTAAAATCTCTCAAATGTCATTTAATATTCTATGTACCAAGGACCTACTTCTAATGAAAAAAAACTGATATTAACAAAAATTTTAGATTTTTATAAATATTTCTTAAGTTGCCAAATATAGCTATAATTCTTAGTAGACATATTTATAACATTGTCGCAATGAAATAGACGTATCAGAGATTCGTTAACCGAGTGATGCTTTTGCACTTGTACCCAATGGCTTGAAATTGCGTTAATAGGCGCAATACATCCTGCCAGCGGACAATGACTAGTCGGTTTACAGGAACAATATACAACATTAAGGAGAGAATAAAACGCTTTTGCTCTTTAAAAATCTTCAATTCAATACTCTTTCTATCCTATATGTAGACCCGAATAACCAGCTATCATTATACCAAATTTCATCAAAATCTATCCAGTGGTTTTCTCGTGATGCGTTTCCAAACAGACAGACAGACAAAAGTTCTAAAAACTACAGATTAGGCTTCTGTATAATATAAAATAATGACAATTCCAATAAGATTTTCCAAAAAATATTTAAAGTACAGATTCAACTCAGTTAGAATTTTATTATATTATATAAGTATGTATGTCCTAACCATGTAGCACTAGTCGCAACGCTTAGATATTATTATTTCAAAATATTCTAGTTTTCTATTAGCGACAGCAATAATTTGTATGATTAAGCTCGCTAGAAGTATATTTGATGATAAATTGATTTCAATATTCATCACTTTTCTATCGGTTGTGTGATCTTGTTCGTTGTTTCAGAGGAATTCAAAAATTCTCGTCTAATGTACTAAAAATAAGTTTTTTTTCTTAATAAATGAGTCAGTTAAAGTTATTCATTATACTATCGTCTAATTTCCGCATATTTCTTGAACTATGCACATTGGAGCACTGTTCCTACTTACTAGACACTGGATTACGTGCAGCATAAGTGTCATCATAATATTCATGAAAATATGCACGGAAAAATTTTAAACGTGTTATTTTATAATTAACTAGCGACTTACCCCCGCTTCGCTCGGGTGCGTCTCTGTATACGCGGATTTTGTTCACAATTTCATGGGGTTTTTTTGCGCGGAACCCTAGTTTTTTATCTAAAATAAATGTAGCCTAAGTTACTTCTTATAACATCAGCTATCTGCCAGTGAAAGTCCTGTCAAAATCAGCCCAGTCGATTCGAAGATTAGCCATAACAAACAGACAGATAGAGAAAAAAATAAAAATTGTTTTTTCTTACAAGTACCGTGTATGCATTTAGTAAAAAGCTAACAGCTTTTACAAACACTTACAAACAGACACTTCAATTTTAGTTATCTGTTGAGTCAGCGCAAAGGATTCCACAAATGAAATATTAGCGTACCGAATAAATTAAAAAAAATACTTATCTCCATTTCAAATGTTATACAATAATTAATAAGTACTTATAATTTATTATTATATATTAAATTAATTATCCGTTTCTATATCTGATCTTCGGACAATAACTTAGAAATCCCGAGTACTATTTACCAGTATGATTCACAGTTTCGTGTTGTAATGAATGAATCAATTCGTGATGAATAGCTTTTATCTAGTTCTATGTCTACGGAGCAGCTGTAGGTATGACTTGTATTGTATGAATATTATTAGTAATTGCAAATATAGCTAGTCTAGCGACTTATATAGGTACATTTATATTAGTGACCTACCTTTGTTTCACTCCAGCCTTTAGTGCACTTTACATTTCATTCATTAACTTCAACTTTGCATCCACTTTTTCATTTCTGCCCGCAGCTTTAATTGCGTACTGGATACGTGAATTAAAATGTAGCATATGTGTTAATCTATACAGATGATAAAATTCTAATTAAGCCGAATATGTATATTAAATATTTTTTGGAAAATCTTATTAAAATAGACATTATTATCGATACAGAGGCCGAATATATAATTTTTAGATTTATGTCTGTCTGTCTGTGACTGCATCACGAGATAACCACTGGACAGATTTGATGAAATTTGGTACGATAAACGTTAAAACGTATGTAGGGACGAATCCGAGCGGAGCGAGGGTGAGTTACTAGTGTAGCATATAATCTTCCCTTTGTTCTAAACCTGAGCTTGAGGACAGTAAGTTAACCTTCGCACGGATCGGTAACGTTGGTCCTTCTACGTGAAAACTTGTTTCTGATTGGAAGATAAACTTTTAAGCATAGCTTTCTAGTTTCGACATAGCTCTTGGGTAGTTACTAGTTATGTCATTATTATATCATACATACATACATATATACATATATACAACATCCCTTTCCTTGAAACGAATACAGATAGAATATAATGACCCTTCACCGTTGGGTCGGGATGACGAATGTTGTGATTTGTTATACCTAACAAAAAACAGCCACTTTCAGATAACATCATCAACATAAAGTCTAATTACATCACTGTGACGACTCAAAATTAAAGAAAATAAATAAACAAGATATAAAATAAAGTAAATAACTAGTATCTATATGATAATTCGATGACGTGATATATAATTAAATTACAGGCATTGCAATGGATATAAATGTCGAACGTTACGGTTATGACTTAATGTAATAGGCGAGTGTATAATGTAAGTGGGTACGGCGAGTAGAAAATTACTAAATGTCAAATAGGTCTTATGATTTATGAGGTAAAGTTGATCGAGATGACGAACAAACATTACACGTGCATTTATTGTGATTGAAAGGATTATTGTATGCAATTTTTGTCTCTTGTAAAATCTATATAAATAAAAATGAATGTTGCTAAGCGCAAACTTGAGAACGGCTCGACCAATTTAGCTTATTTATTTTTTCGTATGTTCCTTAAGGTACAGGAAAAGTTTTAATAAAGAGAAAAAATATAAAATAAAATACTTACGACGACTATATATATATATATATATATATATATATATATATATATATATATATAACTATATATATAGTCGTAAGTCGTGTTAGTTACACCATTTATAACTCAAGAACGGATCGGACTGGACCAATTTTTATGATATTTGATTCTTTGGATTTCTCTAAGTCCGGAATAGGATAATAAGTATTTAAAAGATCAGAATAATTAACGAAAAAAATGGCTAATAACTATTTATATCTATTTAAACCGTACCTAGCTAGGGTAAGCCGCTAGTATATTATAGGTCTTGTTATGACAGATTAAATAAATATTTTTATATCAATGCAAAATATTTTCTTACACAATGAATCGCCCAATTCAAGTGATCGCATTTAATTTATATAAATTATGATATTTTAAATATGTAACAAAAAGATGAAGTATAAAGATGAAGTATTTTTGTTAGGACCTCGAAGGACCAAAAACGCGCAATATTCGTTGGTGAATTCTATTTTATTTTTAATATTTCCTTTGAATATATTAGCCATAACCAAGACAGTTAGCGTGAACTATAGTAGGTTCTACACCATCTTAAATAAATTTATTTAAATATGAGTAGAAGCATTAATTTTATTGGTATTTTGACAACAAATCAATTAATCGGTAGCATTTATCGCCTCACTTTACGTATACATACATCGGCTCAAATTAGTCCAACAAATAAACCTATCATTATTTGATTGATAGACGAGGTCAGTTATAATAAATTTTCGGAACACTACCATAATGTTGCCAGATTAATATTTTGAGCAAACTATTCATATAAATAATTATTTTTTGTAAAAACTTGCTGAGTGATCAATGGCTATAAAAATTTCATTTAATAAAAAAACATATACTATTTTATATAGTAAATGTGACAATTTTAAGTAAACAATATAGGATATTCTACTAATCTTACAACGTTAATGTTTTTTTTTTTAATTTCATTTATTAATTTACTGCTTCATCACCTTTAACTGGCAGCACTAATTTACGAATACGATATATCACGTAAGTTATTATAGATGTTGTAGATTTAAGTGAATTTGGGTCACCTGACGTTTTCGAAAGGAGTCCATCCAGATTCCGCGACAAAAAGAAGTAAAGGCCATTATTCTTGTCGAACACAACACCTAAAGGCTTGCCGAATATCACATGATTCCGGTCAAGTGTGAAGAACTTTTTAGGGTTCTGTAAATAATTGCAATATAGTTTATATTGTTAATATTATACAAATGTAGATCAGGTATAATTCCTATCAATTTGTATTTAACAAATCTTGTTCACTTACTTGTTAACGCCTTTATTATTTGACATTTTAAATAAAACTATCTTTTCGGAATTTTTCGCAGATATATTTTGATTTTTGGTTCCCGACGTTTCGAATGCTTTACAGAAATCATGGTCACGGGAGAGACTAACCTACCCACAAATAGGCTGTCTGTAACAACTATATAATACCTTTGAGACAACTAACCCCTTAGTCTCTGTTTGTAAAAGGAATGCAGCTAACTTTATCATGCCGCTTTCAGCTAACTTCATCATGTCGCTTTTTGGCTGTCGGTGTGCGCGCGCATCGTAAATATTTTACTCTCATATTTTTTTCCAAACGTGCCAAAAGAAGTATAACTTCAAAACTGACGCAAAAATGTTTAACTATATGCACATAAAAACCACCAACCACATAAAAACTACAAATAATACCAATAAAATGTTTGAAAAAGAATCTAATATTTTTAATCTCGATATCTCTATTACTGTTTTTGTTTATACATTTTATATATTGTATATATTATATTAAGTTATCAGTTATTATAAAACTTATAATAATATATAAAAACCTAGTATAATATATAAAAAATGTTAAATACTCGTAAAAAAATTAAAATTTATAAAATCCCCGTTATAGTAACGCATTCAAGCCATTTTAATGAGCCTAAACACGATATCTTGGTAGTATTTTAGTAAAGAGTTACAGTATCTTGCAGATTTCAGGTGACACTGCAGCATCAAGCCAAGGTTATCATATCATCACGGTACTTGGTGAACTTGGTGCTTTTTTTGCTTAATATTGCTTGATGATTTCTACTCGAATTAGATGTCTTACTTACTTGTGGAAACTTAATTATAAATTTTATTCATTATAATCTGTTTGTTTCCCTGAAAATAAATAAATAAATAAATAAATAAATAATAATAATAATAAATCTTAACTGAGTAAACATTTTCTATCGATTTTATAGCCTATTTCTAAAAGAAGGCTATATATTATCACGCTACGACTAAGGAATGCGAGCAGAGCCGCGGACCAAATCTAGTAAATATACATTTTCTAGCTGTCTCTACTGCTGCCAGTCATAAGATAGTACTCTAGCGAGTTATTGCCTAACATCAGTAGGTAGTGTACTTTTGAATTGACTCTACATACTGACTTGATATTCGTATTAAGATAAGTCGGTAATTGATACGACGAATTTTAAAGTGCATTTAATGGTACTTATCTTATTTTTATAATTACGCAAATTACGTTTATTGATTAATCTTAAAATTTTTGACAGTGACATATAAATTCAAGGAAGTCTATTTGTCATCCGTGGTCTATATTAACTTTTATAAACTGCATTTGAGCAAATGCTTAATATATACGAGTATGACCTATACCTATGGTAAAAAAATAGTTCAACTTAATTCAAATAAATAACAAAAAAATTATATGTATATTTGAAATTTGTTTACAATTATGCTTTTAATTTCTTTATTGTAGTAATAACTTTAGTATAAAATATTCTGAATAAGCAGCTTGTTATTGTATTCAGCCCTTTTTTAACGTCCCACTGCAGGGCACGGGCCTCCCTTCAGTACGAGGGGAATCAGGCCATAGTCCACCACGCTGGCCAAGTGCGGATTGGCGGACTTCACATGTCTTTTGAAAACTTGCTAGGTTCTCTTCAGACATGCAGGTTTCCCCACGATGTATTCCTTCACCGTTAAGACAAGTGGTAATCATGTTAGAAATGATTCATGAAAATATCAGAGGTGCGAGACCCGGGATTTGAACTCGCTTCACTCGGTTTCCCAAGCGAGCGCGTTACCACTGGGCTACCACTGCCAACTTATTTGTTATTGTCTAATATTCATGAAATCGAGTAGATATTTTGAAATTACAAAATTTACGGTCGGAACGATTATTTTAATAATAATTGATCCTCAATATTTTATTTTATCATGTTTTTACGCAAAAATTGCAAAGTTTTTTGCTTTTAAACTCGTGCAAAAGTATTTTTTTAAATCATATAGTACAGTGTTTGTTTGTTATGTTATATAGATTTAAAGGATTCGAGTAAGCCTGGTAAACAGCTGATTCCGCAATATGTCATAAAATATTTAGCGGATCTCAAACAATTACATCGTAAATATTTTTTTTATTCGACGCTCAGAATAAATTTTCGATAAAAATGTTTTACATGGAGGTTGCAAGGTATATGCAAATCTGTTTTCAACATATCCACCTGTATAATGTAAATATCAAGATCGTTTTGACTAGATGCCATATAAGTCTTTTCGACTTTAATATTTTTTTCTATTCCAATTAATAAATAGAGATGAGAGAATAATAGAGGTCATAATGTTATATGAGATTTTTAATAAATAATACCAATACCTAATAAGGAAGCAAACGATTAATTGTCTCTAATCGTAGAAATCTGTAAATTAGTTTTTTTTGTGTAAATCGCCTTCAAAGTAATTTTTTTCAATTTTTTTCTATCTGTAAGTTTTTTTGTTTGCTTTTTGCGAAATACCTAATTCCGGATAGAATTTTAAAATGAATAATATCAAAGCGATATAATATAAAGAAATTATATTAAATGAGGGTCAATATCGAAGCAAACTTTATGTTTAGAACACGTACGGTCACGGGAAATCAGATGGATTTTTGTATAAAAAGTTTACGTGATTTACTGCACGGCTTTTACTTTAAGGTGAAATGTAAACATTTTTATTTGTTGCTGGAATTCAGTACCTATTAGAATTTGCAGCTTAAACCCGGTGATTTGTTCCCGTGTTATAAAAGAATATTCTTTTGGGGGTTTGTTTCTTTGGGGTGCATCCCCAGATTTTGTTTACAATTTCATGGGTAGGTAATAATTTTTTTGCGCGGAACTTTGAATATGAACTTTGATATAAAAGTAGCCTAATTTACTTCTTATAACATCAGATATCTGCTAGTAAACGTCCTGTCAAAATCTAGCTCAAGGTCTAGGCGTTTTGAAGTTTAGCCGGAACAAACAGACAGACAAGCAAATAATTAAAAAAATGTTCTTTTCTTATTAGTACCGTATGTTATGATCCGAAAACAGAATGCCCGAAAATAGATTCAGTTTTTCACAAAATATTACGTATATAAACAAAAAGACTAACATTTTTGTTACCTGCTCTGGTATCATGTAATAGCCATTGTGAGCTTAATTTGAGGTAGCTATTTCTTGATCATCAATTGATTCATTGATCAAACGCTACAATTTCATTTATATACTCATAAATATAATGTTTTTTTGTGTTTTAGGTCGAGAGTACGAATTTCTTACAAACTTTTCAATCTTTGACGATTCAAGTTAATACTAACAGATTAAGATATTTTTGACAAGTTTTTAAATAATCAGTACCAAAACTGCTAAATAATCTCCATATCCTCTGACACGGAGTGTTAATTAAATAAAGAAAACTATAGCATATAATTATGTAATTAATATATTAATGCAAAAGAAAAACAATGTAATATTATCCATAGGAAGCACAAAAGTTAACGATGCGTGACTTTATACAAATGTATCTTCTCATCTATATAACGATATCTATACATATAATAAAATTGTAAGTAAATCGGATCTGTACATAAAAAATTTTTTTGAAAGTATTATTGAAATGGATATTATTATCGATACGGAGGCCAAAACTACAGTTTTTAGAATTTTTGTCTGTCTGTCTGTTACTGCATCACAGAAAAACCACTAGAGGGAATACAAAAACTGGTTAGACTAAAACCACAATGATAGTATATATACACATTCAAATGAAATTGGTATATGTAAGAGTGGGTATACTAATATGTAAAATCTAAGAATTTCGTTTTTGGTTGGAGCCGCGGGCATTGCTAGTTGATTATAAGATTAATATGTCATACTATGCTTTATATAGTGCTTAGACTCAATTTTTAAAGTCCTAAGTGACTAGACTGTTTGCGCAGTGTTCGGTGTTCGGTCTGTTGCAAAATAAAATAAAAAAGTATTAAAAAACGTTTAAATGTGGTGGACTTTTATAATATAAATGATTTTCTAGGGAATTGGGAATAATGTAATTAACAAGCTCTTTCAACGTAGTTATTAAAATTTGTAATATTTTTGTATGTTATATAAAAATAATTTTAAATATAGTTACTGAGTTTCTTTTGCTACTTATCATCAGGTTTGAGGCAATATTTTCCAAATTTTTGAATTAAAGAATTTTGGATTTATTTATTGAAATACCAATAATAAAATACTTGAACATAACTGCAAAGAAGGCCGTGACAAATCTAAAACTTAAGTTTTATTATTATATAAAACTTAAGTCTATTAATGATTTACTAATAACTTTAGCGTATATCATCTCAGTATTATGACTAATTACTTAATTTATCCATATTTTAAATCCGTAGATAATAAATAAGAACCGATCAAGCCCGGTCGGAGTCAGAATTGCATATTAAGAGTTTCGTACCATAATCGATATTTATTAAATTACATGGCAGTCCTTTTGAAATTCGCCATCTTGGTTTTTTTTGTATTTGTTGTTATAGCGGCAATAGAAATACACACTCTGTGAAAATTTCAACTCTCTACCTATTACGGTTCATGAGATACAACCTGCTGACAGACAGACTGACAGACTGACTTAGTAATAGGGCCCCGTTGGCACCCTTTGGGTACGGAACCCTCATAAAGCTCATAATCCGATCAATTCGAAGGCCACAGCCACTTTTAAAATCTGTTGTCAAATATCTTTACATTAAAAAAATTAGACACGACAATTCACTCTATTTGACAAGTAGTTGCATTTCGCAAGTTCAAAAAGCGACCGAAATCTGGTACCTTCAGCGGTTCCTCAAAAGGCAAGTCTTGTTGACCCACATGTTGCAACACTGCTCCGTAAAAACATTGAGTATGCAACATTATTTTCGCAAATTTCTAATTTGATTAATTAGGTTTTTTAAAGCTAAAGCTAATAGTTTAGCGGAGACGAGACAGAGATGGGGTAGTATGTAGAAATGGCTAAAATTATCAATGCTTATTTATTTATTTCTAATATTACATATGTTATACTTTATGTTTATTATTTAATATAATTTTTTACTTTAGAATTTGTACATATATATATATATATATATATGATGTATATAGCAATTTCATACCTTTTCGTGTTGTTACACGTAATTGATAGGTTTTTTTTCATCATAAATAGTATAAATAATTGTAAAAATAAGGCAAATATTTTTGTAATGATTCGGTAAAATAAACATAATATATTTAATATAGGACTATTTGATATGTATGTTCTTCAAGGAAATAAATTTTTTAATTACAAAAAAATGTCGTGTACCGGGTTTTTAAGCTTTATAAAGTTATAAACTAAGCTCTCGCATACGTAACGTGTAATACAGTTGGCAGTATGACCTCTTTACACATAGATATTAGATAATGACAAATACAATGGTGGGAGGGGCACATGCTAAGCTGATTCTAAGCACGCATTAAGTTATTATGATAATATGTGAATAGTGAGATATTGCTTTATCATAATAAAGGGTTTAAATAACTTAGTTATGGTAATATATTATAGAGGCCTTTTGATTTATATTGGTAGAATTTATGTAGTATATTTATTATTACTTGCTTGAAATACATCTTGTGGATGAGTCAAATATAATTTTTATATTAACTGTTCTGGTATTTTTATTTTATTTAAGACTAACTTTTTTTGAGTCTCTTATTAATTTTATTTAAATAATATTTACAATATATATATATATTGTAAATATTATTTATATATGTATATATGTATATGTATGTATATATATATATATACATACATATACATATATACATATATATAATTATTGTATAATGTTAGAATCGATATGTGCTAGTTGTAACATTTCAGTTTTCATTAATTGTAACATACAATTATCATTCGAGACATTTCATCCTTACCATAGACTCTATCAATTAATTCGATAAAATAGTGACGGTCCACGTTTTTGCATTTTAAATATTTTTAAAAATAATGAAATGTTTGTTTCCTTTGAGTAAATCTTGATAACTTCAATATTTAAAGTACTTTTCTTCCATGTCCCATCGATTTGTTACACCTGTATACTCCGAGCGGATCTATTAGTACAATGTTTCAACGCGTATGTTTACTATGTTTAATAACAAAATCTGTACAGACGAAGTTGCGTGCAAAATGGAGTATTTATTTTAATAAATCAAAATAAAATATTTCATATTGACCTTATCAAGATATATAATCAGTTATAGCGTCATTATAAAAATAATTTTAACACTTCTGCTACATAATATATTCAAAGTGCTCTAATTCCATACATAATATCTAGCTTAAAAAATTTGTTATTGATCAATTTATGAATTAAGTCACATATTTTATAGATTTTAGTTGTCTATGGATCATCGGAATGTTATTTTATGTGTTTATTCAAATCATGTAAAATAGATTTAAATGTTTCTTTTATGTTCTACATTAGGCAAATTAGTATTAGTATCAATGTAATTGTGTTGGGAAATAATTTCAATTTGGTTATTTAAATATTTTATTCACAATATTCGGTGCTATTATTTCAAGTGCTATTATAGTTTTTTTCTATTAATATCACGGTATTGTTACTATTGTATAAAATAGTTCTAACAAATTAGTCTACTAAATAAATCTTGATTTAAATCAAAATTATCTATTTTATAATAAAATCAAATAAGATTGCAATCTATCTCAAGAACGATTGAAAATATTGAATATCGTTAGCCCGCGACTCCACTCGCGTAATTTATTTATTTCTTACTATATATTTGTAAATTATAGCTTATGTGTTACTCTGATGTACAAGCAGTATTACTGTAAAGTTTGATCAATATCTGTTCAGCAACTTTTGGGTTAAAGTGTGTAAGGTTGCATTTTTCTATATGAGAGTTTTAAGAGGATTGTGAAGCTGTAAATTTTCATACAAAAAGCGATGACGTTTTTCTCCCCATAAACATAGTCTCCATAAGTTTTTATTTAAAAAAAATATTGCGTACAATAGAAGTTATTAGCATCTAAATATCTATATTTTTTTCTTAAAAACTTCCTGGAGCGTTTTTTTTTAAATTAAATTAAACTGAATTACTAAAAAAGAAAAACGTACAGATCTATACTAAGGTGTACTGAATCTAATGTGACTAAAATTGTCTCATTTCGTAAAGGTTTAGCCTAGTGACTAGTTATGAATAATTGTTAACTTAATACTTTAAATTGTTGATATAAATTATATAAATGCTTATTTGTTGATTATATTTGAGTTTCTCGCCGACTCTTCGTAGCAGAACTGCTTTCCGAGCCGGTGGTAGTTTTCACACGAACAGACATACGATTATAAAAAAAAAACCTTTACCTTTTATTCTAGGTTGACTAGACTGTTATTTAAATAGAATTTTACAAACATTTTTGCTTGACGGGATTTTCATTACAAGAGATTAAGGGATTCTATTACAAATGGGAAAAATAACCTTAAAACAAATATTTATTAACTAATTGCACTTTACTCAAATATAAAAAACATACAATAAAGGCTGACTTATTCAAAATACTGATTTGTAGTAAAACTAAGTATAAATAGCATAAAAATAAATGACTGTTATTGCAATATTTCCCCTTCTATTTCACAATTTCGTAGTATATCGTAGTGCTTTGTTTTGTGCTTTTCATGGTAGTTGTTTGAAAATAAAATAAAAATTAAGTCCATTACCATTACATTATTAATACGATTAAATATTCTATATATTTATATAATAAACTTTATTGTAATGACATATTTCATATACACAAAGAACTAACATGAATTGAACCATTGTACCATTTCAACTTAATTATAGTTGAATTCTCTTCTAAAGCAAGCAATTTTTCCATTCGGCATATTAATTACTTGTTTTAGTACTTTATCACTTTCCAGAGTATATATTACTTTGCATCCACCCACTTCGAAAATATCGGATTAGATATCTATTCTAAATGAAAACCCCCGTTTAGTTATTTTTTATATTTTAGTGCCTGGAAGTCGGTTTTTTATTTTTTTAAGTGTTTATTATTTTCCTATTAAAAGAAAACGTTTCCACTTGACGAGTTGGTTACATTAATATTTAGTTCCGAAAAATCTTGATAATAAGACTGACTTAAAATCTGTATGACCAATATAAACATTCACTTCGGACAGATATCGAACCTATGACCTCAAGAAAAATACGTATTGTCATTCAGCCACATATCACTATAGCACCATTGCTATTATAAATTGTATACCGCTATAAATTATAATCGGCGCTTATAAATAAAATTAATGTCTGTATGTGATTTGATGACACTTTTATTGTTATTTGCACGATACCAAAATCCAAACAATGATTAAAAAACATATCTTTATATCCGCCAACATTCGGAACGGCTAACTAAATTTATTGGCGATCGACTATAACTTAGACAAGAGCTGGATAATGACTTAGACATGATTTCATCATCTGACTAAACATTATAAAGTTACAAAAGCACCCCTTATTTCTTATCTCTAAATCCTTTAAACTTAAAAAGAAAATGGATTTTGTCTTACGTGACCTACGTATAACACCAGGTATATAATAATAAAATTTTGGCAACATTGTAAAGTAAAAGTAGATTACAATGAGCCTTATTCCTGGAACACATTCTCGAAAAAAAATATGTAATATTAAATATAGATTATATTACAAAAATTTCAAGAGTTTGTTGGTTTGGTATTTTTTTTTCTATTTAGTCTTTTTCTGCTATAATAAGCGTAAAGTATACAAATCTATATGGTTAAAAATAAAAAAAACTTGTGGATTTAGGTTAAAAGAAGAAGATGCTATCACTTTTTTTAACATTGGAAAAAGTAATTACACCTACCACCATACAGATAGTTATGTGGTGACTTACTGGATAGAAAAGCCAACCACTAAAACTCATGGACCCGCCCCCATCTTCAAGGGGAATACGTCTTATTTGTGAATTAAAAGGCAAATTATGCTTGAATAGGCGAGGTGAAGTTGTGGTTAAAAGATAACAAAATTAATAACTGATTTATCCTTAAGATACAAATCGCTTTAGCGAATGTGACCTTAATCCGTCGATACACTTTACTGGCAATCACATATATCAGTTTTTAATGAGACTTATGTAATATAAAACATTAAGCATAATATCTTTTTATAAGATTTTTATTTCAAACTTTTACAGTTTTATACAATTTTGTCTGTAGGTGTACAGTGTGTACAGTATAAAAATATATTAAAAGGTCAAAAGGGCTTAAAATAAGGCTTGTAATAAAAAGTTTTGTTATTAAATTACTCATATGTCTCAGATATTCCCACTTTTAATTAATATGTGTCGTGATAATTTTAAATGGAAAGAGTCAAAAAGATAGTGTGACGAGTGCGCAGATAATTATTGTTCACATATTTACATTATCTGGGAGATGAACTACAATATTTATAGAATTAAAATTAGTGAATAGATATAAACCTAATAAGAAGTCAATGATGTTGAGATTTATACCCTTAATTTGGTGAACTTGTACGACTCGGTATAGTTGCAACACAAGTACGTTCGCGGTTCGCCAAGAATTATATTTATTGGCAATATTGTATGATATTATTGACTTGTCGTCTCAAAGGACAATATGTTCATTTTATTATTACTTATCATATTATATACTAGCATAGCCCGCGGCTCCGTCCGCGTTTAGATGACCAAAACCAAATAAAATAGCGCTATTGTTATTTTTTTCAAGATAAGTTATTTTTAATAGTTTTTGCCTTATTTAGTGTGTTACCTTGCTAAAATATATATAGTATCATCGTGGTTTTATTCTAACCAGTTTTTGTATTTTTTGTCA